TTTTTTTTTACTACTGCTCTGAACTTAATTTGCAGTATATTTTGCAAATGTATTCTTCCTGTAGGTGGCTTATTGCTTCTGGATGCTGTGCAAATAGCAGCCATTCTGCTTGTGTCAAAAGCTGCAGAAAATGCTTATTGTTTCCTTAATGTGCCATTTCCTGGGCAGCACATATGCAGTGCGGGGAGGGGAGCAGAGGAGAACCACTTGTCTGCCAAATGAGGAGCTCCACGGCTTTCACTCGTCCAACGGCAGCTTTTTTTGTTGATGAAGCAGTGAATCCTTGGGAGGCAATCGTCCCCCCGATCGAGAGGTGCTCCGTATCTGTCACTGCTCGTGTCCCTCTGGATAACGGCTGGGAAGGGACGAGCTCCTCTGCTGCACGTTCCAATTTCTGGAGGTGATGAGTCGTGCCCTGGCAGTGTCACCCTGGCCAGCGCTGGTGGGGCCTGCTCCATCACAGCTCCATCACAGCTCCATCACAGCTCCATCACAGCCAGCTTCTGGGGCACCAGTCACCTCCTCCCACACCCAGGGGCCACCCTGCACACCTTCCTCCTGGCCTTTGGACCTGATTTATCAGGTCAAATAGAGTGGGTTTAGGCGAGGAGGCTCTCACGTGTGCCCCTTGGGGTGGAGGTGACCAGCTCCCACGGATGTACCCCACACAGTCTGAGGAGCCTGCGTGAAGGACCGTGTCCCCGCTGAGCCCTGCGGTGGGGCTGCGTTGGTGAAATCGCTGAACACGAGATCGGGCAGGAGGATAACACCCATCATGGCAGAGGATTTTATAATGATGCAGATTTTGTGATTCTTTGAGGTTCTGGCACAGCAGCAAAGTTACCAGCCTGTCTCAAAAGTGTCTTCATGTCCCGGATCAGATGCAGAATCTGTTCAGCCCATTGCCTGCTCTGTAGTGGGGAACCGGGTAATCTGTTCAGCCCATTGCCTGCTCTGTAGTGGTCTGTAGTGGGGAACCGGGCAGAGTCCAAGGACAAAGTAAGCGTATTCCTTGATAGATCTTCATCCCTCGCTTGGCTAATTATTCTTTGAACGTATCTTTGACACTCTGTTAACCTGTGGTCGTGACAGCCCTACAAAAGAACACTGCGTTTCAGGCACCCTCATCCTTGTATGGTGAGACAGTGTTAATGAGCATGCCCTATTAACCAGGCTGAGGAGTCCCGTCTAATTAATCGTTTCTGAGATGGAAGCCACTCCAGCAATATGGAAATCAGAGCTACTCCCCGACTGCGGGAGCACTGCCCAGTTCCTCCCCAGTTCACCCCCAGTCAATGCCAGTGCAGAGTTCACTTTATATATTTTTATGTGAATAATTCTTTAGAAATCTCCTCGGTTTAATGAAATCTAGTGGCGACTGGCTCCGTATTTTAACCGTGTGGGTTTCAGTATTAAGGGACTCGGTCTACTCGGTGTGTGAAGGTCATTTCTTTAATTTCATGGCTTTTTTCAAGGTGTTTTGTCTTTATGAGATGCCTGCAGTTCAGTTGGTTTCTAGCGTGATGGATTTCATATTGATGAAGACAGCAGATTGCGGGAATATGATCATGAATATAATGACAGGAAGGAGGGTCTGAGGAATGTGCCAGTGCAGGGTTTCTGCTCTTGAGATCTTTATCTGAATGAGAGGTGGTTTGTTTCTTTTCCTAATGATGCAATAAGAGTGGGGCAACTAATATACCAAATAATTGCATCTTTTTAACAGAACATATCTGACACTAAAGAGTTTATTTAGAGAGTTTATTTATTTATGGAGAATGTAATGCAAGCGTTTGTGCATTCTGTGCTCATAGAAAAAGTTGTCCCAAAGCAGAAGATGACAGTAATCTTGGTAGATGGAGCTATATTGTCCATATAAAAGAGAATAATATCTCAGCTCTGGAGCTCACAGAGACAGGAAAGCAGAGCATCTGTTTTTATTTTAACCTCTTCTGCCCTTTTTTTTTCAGGTCGTATCTGACTCCAGTGCGGGATGAGGAAGCGGAATCGCTGAGGAAGGCACGATCCAGGCAGGCCCGGCAGACTCGCAGGTCTACACAGGTAAGGGATGGAAATGCTCATGGTTGTGTGGGGGATGAAGAGAATTGATTTATAAAGAGGCAAGATTTTCTTCTGCTCTTCCGTTACAATGTAGGACGAGGGGCTTTTCTACCCTCCCCGTTTTGGGGAGCTTCTGGCAAAAGTTCCTGCAAACAATTTTCACAAAACACTCCCTGGAGCACACACGAGTTCGATTTCAAAGCTGTCATCTCTGCCTTTTGGTCCGTAGCTTGATCACATATATTTGGGTAGCTCTGAGTCAGTGATTAGGTAGGAACACTGAGAAACGTGTTGAAGGCAACAGGATTCTTTTCTCTCTGTGAGCACAAGGATAAAACATTGGCCTGGCCAGACACGAGCCTGTGGGTGTTTTAAACTGACCTGGAAGACTTGCTATCTAATTGCATACGTTTAACGAACCTCTCTCTTACTTTCTGTCAGGGTGTGACGCTGACAGACCTTCAGGAGGCCGAGCGGACCTTCAGCCGGTCCCGGGCAGAGCGACAGGCCCAGGAGCAGCCGAGTGAGAAGGCCGAGAGCACGGAGCCCCCCGGGGACGGCGGCGAGAGGCCCGAGAGCCGCCCCCGCTGGAGCAGAAATACAGAGGAGGAGGTGATGCCCCCGCCTCACTTCTCAGTGTCTCAGCGTTAACAAACCCCTCGAGGAGAGCTGGGATCGGGGGGAATTCCTTGGGGGAGCTGTTTGTTTCAAGAGGGGCAGACTCGCTGGGAAGAAGCGCTATGGAGGGGTCCTGCAGCAGGGATGTGGTGTGTACGTGTTAGGGGTTGGCTGTTCCTTTGCTCTCCGCTGGGAACTTCACTTTTCTGTCTCTTGCCAGAAAATAAAACCGTGTAAATCACAGAATGTGGAATGAGAAGGCTAATGATAGAAGTGTGGCCTGGATCCATCCTCGCTGTGCAGCCTGGGCTGAGACTTTGTGTTCACCTTTTTCAGCAGATGTTCTGTGTGTAATGGAAAGCGAGAGAGACCAGTTTTCTCCCCCTGCTTTTTTACTCTAAATCATCCATTTCTGCCAGATATAGCTTGTTTGTCCTGCCACTGGCTGTAGGGACAGAGAGATTGATCCCAGACTTCCTATCAATGGGAAGGTGCTCTCCCATTGTAGCTGTGAAGTGCTTTTAATGTTCATCCCAGTCTGATGGAATGAACCTGATCTGGCGGATGGAGGGGATCAGTTCCAGCAGCAGTGAAGAAAACAATCCACTCTGAAAGATTACCCAGTTCCCTGAAATCCCAAATCTGCTAGTTCCTCTTCATTCTACTAACTTTTTGTCACGGGTCTTTGTTTATAGAGTGTCTATCGGCGATTAAGGTGCCCAGTACAACCAGACAAACCTACGACACCAGTATCTCCCTCGACGTCAGCACCTCTCCTTTACACCAGCTCATACCTGTCTCGAACAAATAAGTACCTGGGTCTTGACTCCGTGAATCCGACAGATTTCAGAGGTGCAGCCACAGAGATGGAGAAAAATGGTGTGTACCCGGGAGAATAAAGAACAGTCGAAGCTCAGGGATTTTCATGACTTCTAGAACTTTCAGCATTACAAAGAAGAAGTTTGCTTGTTACTGTGAGGGGAGCAGTGTGGGGAGCTGCCATCTCACCAACCAAATGTTAATTGTTTAAATGGAAATCCTAATGTAGGATACAGCCTATTGCTAGTAACAGAGAGGGATAAAAGGATGTTTTCCATTTTGGGAAGTAAATGAGATAGTAATCCATGGAGCATTTAGGTCTTAGAGCCTGGGGGGAGCAATTGCAGTAGGGGAGTTTGTCCTCGGAACAGGAGTAAGTCCGGATGATTGTTGGGGAGCTGCTGGCCAGGGTAACCTGTGGGGCTCTGATAACAGGAGCGTGAGCAATCAGGTGTAGTTGGGCTTAGTAACTCCTTTGTAACACAACACAAGCCAAGAGGACCGTGATCAGCTTGAAAAGAGCCCCAGTCTCTTAGCAAAAGCCCAGATGTAAATCACTGAAACCAAAGCAGTCTTTCTTTGCTTGGCCAGAGTGTGAAGATCAGGATTTAGACGACAGATCTCTGAACAAACAGTCAATCCGAGAGAGGCGGCGGCCGAAAGAGAGACGAAGAGGCACCGGCATCATTTTCTCGACAAAAGATGTAAGTTTGAGTTCCTTAGAGAAGAGAAACTCATTAGGTCATATTCAGGGTGAAATTCCTTCCAATTCCAAGCTTCAGATTTCTTTCCACATCAGTTGATTTCCCGTCAGTCCTTCCCTCTCCAACTCTATTTCAGAGTGGCACTTCCAAAGGAGTCGCATCCCCGTCTGGCCCATGTAAAACCCAGGCAGCAGCTCTGGGAAGCCATAAATCAGTGGTGCTGCAAAATTGTGAAAGAGCCCACATGGGAGAAGCGAGATCAGAGGTCTAGTTTCTTTGGAAGAAGGTCACGAGCCACTGGAATTGTTTTCAAATTCCTCTGAGCCCAAATCTGGCTGTGCTTTAGGCCCCCTGGAAGGAAGACAATGAGGAGTAAGACCTGTGTCTGGGTCCCCTGCCCAGGGAACACACACAGCATAAACGCAGAAGAGCTGTCTGTGTCGTGGTTGTTTCTCTTAGTCCTGGTATCGAAAGGATTTCTTCTTTTGAAGAAGCCTGAGGGAATGAATCCAGCCCCCCAAACCCTGGTTAGAGACTCAGGTAGGAAAATAGATCACCTTTGTCAGGAGAGAGTATTATGGAATCATGGTTAAGAAGCCTGCAACAGTTCTATCCAGCTGTGGACACGGAGCCTCCTCATACACCTCGGGGTCGAGGCTTCCTGTACAGTGCAGTGAGAAAAGACCCCAGTGGGCTTTCCTGTGGTAACAGTAGAGACATTGAATATTTGGAATTACAGACAAGTTGAATGGCCCTGCTGGAAACCTCAGGATTTCTATTGAAAGACTTGCCGCAAACACCCCCTTTTTATTATTTTCAAATGATTCTTCCATTTTTTCATTTGCATGCCAAATGTGTTTTATTTTTTCCCTTATTGTTTTTTTAGTTAAATGCTTTACAGCTTTACCAGTTGTCTGCTGGATCATTGAAGCAATGTTACTAGTGTCAGAGCAGAAAGCAGAGCGCTTCTCAGAGGTTCAGTTCATTTCCCCTTTGTCTCTCTATGAAACTGTGGCTACACCCTCTGAAAGGCCTTGAGTTCAGTGCGGAGCAGACGTGATGCCAAGGGTTTGCTCCATGAAACCCCAGAGCTGGCACCAAGAGGCAGTGGGTTACAGAGGCTGCAGAAGCTCAGGCTGTGCGGGATGGCTGGTCTTTCCTCCTGGAGTCTAATTGAAGTGGAGGATATTCTTTGAAATATTTCAGCTACGCAGTCTTCCCAAGCACTGTGTTTGTTCCCTGGGTATGTGAGGAGTATTACTGCTCCTGCGTGACTCTCCAGGAGCATTCAAATTGCAGTAGCCATCTGGAGGGAGTTATTCTGTCCCCAGTACTGGGATCTTCCAATGCCCATTAGGTTACCAAACCTTATCTGATGATCAGCCAAAAGCATCCAGATCAGCATTTCTTTTGAAAGACTCAGTCTTAGCTTTAACATCAAATCATAAGCAATACGTTATCTTCTGTGATAAGGTTTTGTTGTCTCCAAGGCTGCCTAATTATATTGTTTGCTTTTCATCCTAGGATGATGATGAAGTTGATGGAAATGAGGAGGTGAAGGAAACTCGGGTAAGTGAAAACATCAGTCTAAGTAGTTGGTGTTTTACTCTTGGGTGATGGTGGCAAGAAATCTTCTATGGCTTTATGTTTGTTGATGTGAGAGGCTCAGGCTCAGTTCAGGAGCTGAGTATGAGCTGGGAGGCAGTTCCGAGTGGCAAAGTGCTTACTGATTTCTCGTCGGAAAGATGAGTAGCTACAGACTGGCCTAAGTTCAAAAGTTGGCTCTTTGGAGCTGCCTGGGCAGTTCTCAGACCCGGGGGGACCGGAGCAGACGCAGGGTCAGTGCGGTACCGAGCGGTGTCAGACGCTGCCGGGGAGCGGGGCCGGCGGGTCCCCAGGAAGGTGCGTGACCCGGGGTCTCAGAATCACCCTGACACTGTTATTTTGGACAGTATGTTTTGGATGTCTAAAATCTGCACTCTTGTCTCCTCGTGGATTTGTTTTCTTGCGGGAAATGGTCTTGGCAAGCACCACATCAGAGACTGTTCATTGTTGTCCTGTTCTTGCAATAGTCTCATTATCCTTTGAGGCCCTTTCTTTCCATCATATAAATTACTGAGTCCTTCCAAATTGCCTTGGTTTCTCTTGGTTTTGTCTGTCTTTGTCTAAAATACATTTGAGCCTGTCAACATGTACTCTGACAATGTTAAAGCTAAGTACATTTCCAAACTATTAAACATGATGTACAAAACCTGGGAAAGCAAGCAAATTTAAGGGTGCAGAGGGGTCAGTCTGCTTGTGTGACGTTTAGTCTTTGCCAGCGAGTGTTGAAGGCATGGTCCACACACTTTGCAATTCAGTAGAGTGATTGAAGCATCATTTTACTGAAGTTGACTCTTTTTTTCCTGAAAATTTTCAGTAATGCTCTTCAGAGTGTATTTTTGTTTTTATTTCTGCAATACTCGGTTAAAATGGGGCAAAGTCATGGTGAGCCTTGTGAGGAGCAGAGACTCCTGCGGTGCTGGGATGGCTTTTCGCATGTGCTTGTCTTTCGGTGGCAGCGTTTGGTTTCCCAGTGCTCCCTTTGCCATGTGAAAAGCAGGATATTCCTTCCTGGGAAGCAGCACCTGCTTTGGGCAGCCCAGCTCAGCCCACAGCAGGGTCTGTTCGTGGCGGTGCACAGCTTCTTAAATCTTCCACTTGACCCTGCAGGAAAGATTCAGGCATTTATTGACCTCAGAATTGTTTTGATGTGTCTGCTGGCACACAGCAACACTGAAGGAGGGTTATTTTGTAGTGTGTAAAAAGTAATAATAGTAGAATCAGGGAACCATGGAATGGTTTGGGTTGGAAGGGACCTTAAAGCCCCCCCAGTGCCACCCCCTGCCCTGGGCAGGGACACCTCCCACCACACCAGGTTGCTCCAAGCCCCCTCCAACCTGCCCTTGAACCCCTCCAGGGATGGGGCAGCCACAGCTTCTCGGGGCAACCTGGGCCAGGCTCTCACCACCCTCACACCAAACAAGTTCTTCCCCACAGCTCAGCTCCATCTCCCCTCTTTCAGGGTCAAACCCTTCCCCCTCCTCCTAGGGCTCCCCTCCCTGATCCAGAGTCCCTCCCCAGCTTTCCTGGAGCCCCTTGAGGGACTGGAAGGGGCTCCAAGGTCTCCCCAGAGCCTTCTCTTCTCCAGGCTGAACCCCCCAACTCTCTCAGCCCCCCCTCCCAGCAGAGGGGCTCCAGCCCTCCCAGCATCTCCAGGGCCTCCTCTGGCCCCACTCCAACAGCTCCATGTCCTTCTGATGTTGGTGGCCCCAGAGCTGGAGGCAGCACTGGGGGGTGTCTCCCCAGAGCGGAGCAGAGGGGCAGAATCCCCCCCTCACCCTGCTGCCCACGGGGCTGGGGATGCAGCCCAGGGGGTGGGGGGTTTCTGGGCTGCCAGCACACGTTGCTGGGGCCTGTGGAGCTTCTCAGCCACCAACACCCCCAAGTCCTTCTCCTCAGGGCTGCTCTCCAGCCATTCTCCACCCAGCCCAGGTTTGTGCCTGGGGTTGCCCTGACCCAGGTGCAGAACCTTGCACTTGGTCTGGTTGAACTTCATGCTGTTTCCATGGGGCCACCTCTCCAGCCTGTCCAGGCTGGCATCCCTTCCCTCCAGTATGTGGACCGCACCACACAGCTTGGTGTCATCGGCAAACCTGCACTCAGTCCTACTGTCCATGTTGCTGACAAAGATGTTAAACATCACCAATCCCAGTAGTGACCCTCGAGAACACCACTCGTCACTGGTCACTACTTGGATATTGAGCCATTGACTGCAACCCTTTTGAGTGCAGCCAGTCCCTCATCCACCAAGTCAGATCAGTCAGATCCCTGTCTCTCCAATTTAGAGACCAGGATGTCATGTGGGACAGTGTCAAATGGTTGTCACAAGTCCAGCTAGATGACATCAGTTGTTCTTCCCTTATTCACCAGTGCTGAAATGCCATAGTAGGAGGCCACCAGATTTGTCAGGCGTGACTTGCTCTCAGTGCAGCCGTGTTGGCTGTCACCAATCAACTCCTTATTTTCCAACTTAGCAGAGTTTCCAGGAGGATCTGCTCCATGATTTTGCTGGGCACAGAGGTGAGTCTGACCAGCCTGTAGTTCTCCAGGTCTTCCTTTTTCCAACCAGGATGTCATGTGGGACAGTGTCAAATGGTTGTCACAAGTCCAGCTAGATGACATCAGTTGTTCTTCCCTTATTCACCAGTGCTGAAATGCCATAGTAGGAGGCCACCAGATTTGTCAGGCGTGACTTGCTCTCAGTGCAGCCGTGTTGGCTGTCACCAGTCAACTCCTTATTTTCCAACTTAGCAGAGTTTCCAGGAGGATCTGCTCCATGATTTTGCTGGGCACAGAGGTGAGTCTGACCAGCCTGTAGTTCTCCAGGTCTTCCTTTTTCCACTTTTCCAGTCAGCAAGAACTTCACCAGACTGCCACAACTTCTCAAATAATACTAATAATGATAATAATAATATTAATAATATTAATAATTATAATAATAATAGGGACACCTTGTTTCCAGCAGTCGTGTTTTGAACTTGCTGGGAATGTCTTGTTCTGGGAAGCTGTCCCAGGGTAGCTAAATTAAGACAAAAAAGTATCTGAGGCTGCAGGTTTGGCGCTTCCTAAAGTCTAGTCTTAAAATTGCTGAAAACCATTGAGCACCGTCCTTACCACTCTTGTGAACGGGTGAACTGCACTGTGTAAGAACCCACCAAATGTTCCTGCCCAAAAATTCAGGCTCACCCATCTTACAATTAATGATTCTGGTTTTCCGCAAATAAGTGGCAAGGAATCCTTCTGTCTGGTATTTCTCACGATTTCCTTTGGGTTCCCATCTAATAGCAGAGCAGCTTCCCTTCAGTTCCCTTGGTTCCTTTGCACACGTGGTTTGTGGCAACAGTCCCCTGTTTTCTTACACACCTCACGTACGTTAGACCCTGGTTTAGACTCTCCTTCCACTCTGGTCCTGTTTTTCCCATTCTCCCAGTCCTCTTGGTTTTATCCAGTTTCCGGTTCATTTTCTTGGCTGTGTGCCTCCAGCATCAAGTCACTTCGTCAGTCTTCCCTCGTTTATTTGACATCCAAATCAGAGAGATTTCAGTCCTGGGAATTGGCCATCAGTTGGGCAAGAATCACAGAGCAGCTCCTGGCTTTTGGTGCTAGTACCAAGCGGGAAGTGAATTAATAATCATTAATTCATCGATGATCGTAATAATAATAGCTCTAGAACGGCAGGTGCCACCATCAGACCTTGATGCGAACTTGAGCAGACTGAAGTGTCCCTTTTCAGTTGCAGACCCTCAGAGGCTCTCCTGGCTTTACGTGAGCAGCTCCTTTATTTCCTCCAATGTTTATATCTTGGCTGATGGAGGAAGATTTTCATTTTTAAGCCCTACTCAAATTCCCTCCTCCAGACTCCGCAGTGCTGGAGATTAGCAAAGGAAAGGTAAATGCAATTTGGAGGGGGAAAAAAAAAAAAAAAAGAGGAGCAAAATACATGTTGTTCTAATTCTGAGAAGTGGATGAATTCTTTTGGCTGAAGCTTGTGAGCACCAGCGTGGGAAACCAGCCCAGACGCTTCGGCGGGGTTTTAGGCAACTGCGACCGGTGCCGTAATAGGATGTGTCAGGAACCTCCATGTCCTGTACCAACCCCGCCTCTCTCCTCGGGATGCAGAGTGCTGGGATGCCTTGTGGAAAGTTGGAAGAGCAGACAAAGTTTTATTGTGGAATAAATATTCAAGGGCACAAGGACTTCAGCTGGAAAAAGCCTCTGGGGAAGCAGCTTTAGGATTGTTTTGCCTGGTTCCACCGGGAAGGATTTGTTTGGTCCGGGGAGTCCTGAGCTCAAAGCAGAGCTGGGGAAAAAAGTTTGGCCACATTTGGTCTCCATTTCTCAGAAAGTAAAAATAGCGAGAGTCCAAAGGACGTGTCAGTACCCGGCTGAGCAGCGTGGGCGGGATGGAGTTAGGAACCCTGTCCTGCCCCTGCCAGCCAGGGACCAGTGAAACATCCACGGGACTTCGGTTGTGGTGGGGCCAGGCAGTATGGATAGGGTACACTATGGATAGGGTACACTATGGATACAGTGCACTATGGATACAGTACACTATGGATACAGTGCAGTCAGAGCAAATGCTAGTCAATGGCTCTGGTTTGGGATGCAGCATTTGAAGGATAACGCTGAAGAGAATGGTCCAAAGTCAGAATGGTCCAGGGGTGCTGTGAGAGCTCTGGAGAGATGGGACGAGGAGGAGGGATTTGACACTGCAAGAGGGGATTTCAGTGGAATGGAAAGATTGAGAGGAGATGTGGGGAAGAACTTGTTTGGTGTGAGGGTGGTGAAAGCCTGGCCCAGGTTGCCCCGAGAAGCTGTGGCTGCCCCATCCCTGGAGGGGTTCAAGGCCAGGTTGGAGGGGGCTTAGAGCAACCTGGTGTGGTGGGAGGTGTCCCTGCCCAGGGCAGGGGGTGGCACTGGAGGGTCTCCAAGGTCCCTTCCAACCCAAACTATCCTGGGATTCCATG